TTTTCAGAAATTTTTAGGATGATACGCATGATCTATAAAAAGTTAGGGGCGTTCGGATACTTATGAACGCTACTGTACCAGAACTTTATCTATTGGTCCATCCAACTAAGTTACTTTATAAATTGTCACAAAACCTCTTTTTCGAAATATTCAAGCTTGGTGAATCTTTCAAATGGAATCCATTCAAAAAAAAAATCTTTGTACTTTATTGCATTCTTTTATTAGACGTCGACATATTTATTTTTGCTGGGCCATTCAGCGTCATAAATTCGTTTTTGATATTCAGAACACTATGCCATCATTCAACACAGTTACTTGTTGTCTTTATTGTTGTGCTAAAACTTCCATTTGTGCGTGTTTTATCATCGGTTTGTTTAATCAATATCGTTCTTGTAATTGTTATGTTAAAAGAAGAGCCATACTTTCCGTTTATGTATGCTATCAAAATTTGCGTCAATAGAAACCAAGCAAATTATATATGTGTTATATATACAATTAGCTTGGTTTCTATTGACTCATCCCATTTGTTGACCAATTGTTTAGGAATGTATTTAGTTTAGATTCAAACTGATATTTTTAATAAACAACGTATATAAGAAACAAAAAATGTTTGATATACATGTACGAAGTTTTATTTAATGAAGTGATAAAATAATCGTAAATTAAGGGTTTTTATAAAAATTTTCTTTATCCATGCTCTGAGAGTCATTTGTCTTAGTGACTTCTAATGGTAACTCAACTGACTGATTCGTGCCATCTTCTGAAATATGTGTACTAACATTATTACCTGTCTCGATTATTACTTTAATCTTACAAGATAACTTATATAAAAAGTACCAACAAATCGCACCAACTCCTATTACAACCAAACTTATGACATAAGGAAGGTAATATTCATATTTTGCATATTTGTAGTTATTACTTCCACATAGTTGACTATCGTTGGGTTGTTGCTCTTGATGAGGCATTGTTGATGAATCGTTTACGAAAGATCCAATTATGACAAATAGTGTGAATAAAATGAATAGTTTGGGTATTATTGTAGGCACACTGATTGGACGATTTAAATTGGGTTGAGAATGGCGCAAAATCTAACATTTGTAAAGAATTATAATTGGAATTTTGAAAGTCTCAACAAAACACTGATTAATATAAAAAAAAACTTACCAACAATCCCAAAACAGTCAGAAATAGAAACACCCACACGCAATACTCACTCAAATTAACAAAAAATTTAAATGGATCATTATGTGGATAAAAGAGAATGATCAATGAAGACCAAACTGCTTGTGTTATCTGAAAATAAATTATTGGTTATGATTAAGGGGGTTAAAGAAATTCAATATTTGAGAATAGAAAATATATCTTTATACCAATGCAAAAATTGGCGTATCTGTATCTTTATTCCATTTTTTGAGTTGTGACGAGAAAGGAAGATAATTTCTTTTAGCAGCGGCTACAATGACTCGCGAACCGGCCCACACATTTGCAGCCAATGCTCCAAAAGCTGATAGACAAACGAAAAAAGATAGCGCACGAGCTAACTTAAAGTCACCGACTTGGAAAGCGAATTTACCAGCAATGATTTCTGAAGGTTCATTATATCCGGTTATTTTTGATAATGGTACGTTTGTGTATGCAATATTAGCACAAAGGTCTAGTATATACAAATCCATACATTAATATATTAAGTCCAAGTAAATGTCAACAAATCATTTTCATTCGCATAGTGATAATACTTACATAAAAAAGTAACAATACCGACACTAATACTATTTGACGTGAACAATTTTTGTTGTGGATTTTTGAATTCATCCAAAGTATCTAAGGATAAAAGATTTAAATATCCGAGTTACTTGAACGCATATAAAAACTTATCACTTACAATTTAAATTATTCCAGCCACTATATGCAAATAAAATAGGCATAAGTGCAGCCGTCAAAGAGCGTGCACTTATGTTTGCATCACGAGGAAACATATTTTTCCAATTCGTATTTTCATCGTTAATAAACCGAGGAATTGTTGCAAGTCCAATAATCGATATAGTAAGCAGTGTTAACATCTTTATAATTGTGAGAGTTTGATTTATACGATTTGCCCATTTGTTGGACGCCATGTGATAAGCTGTGACTATAACTACCGCAGCTAACGAACAAAGTCGTAATTGCCTAATGATAAGTGTTTTAAATTTAGAATAGTTTAGGTGTGTGAATCCCATATCGTGATCTCTTACCAAAAATTCCAATCAGTAATGTATTTCTTTGGATGCAAATAGTCAATGTCACAATGTTCTGCTGCTTTAACTAAATATAAGAAATATTGTGCGAAAACGTTTGTTATGGCAGACGTATAAGCCGGTTGTATTGCCACGATCATGGTAAAGCTAAACATATAACTCAATAGTGCTTTGGGACGAGGGTATGCTTGTGCTAAATACACAGTCTCTCCTCCTCCATCTGGCATTGAACTTCCTAACTATCATATATTAAAATTATGATATTAATTAGATTGAAACAAAGCTAATATTAGACGTAAATAAAAAATAAATACCTCGACATAAGAAAGTGATCCAAACGCGGTGGCAATTCCACCCACTACCCATAAAATTAATGCTATTCCAGGAGACTGAATTTCACTTAAGACTAGACCAGGACTTGAGAATATTCCAACACCAATCATATGATTAGCATTATTCCCAATACCAGCAAACGTTCCTAAAAGTCTTGTTCTTTCGACAGAGACTATTGACGCGTCATCGTTATTATTGTTATCAATGTTGTTATCAATGTTATTATCAATGTTCTGAGCAGCCATTGTTTATAAATTATATCTTAATGATTTTGACAATTCATGAATCTGTAAAGCTGTATAAATATGTTTTTTACACCATTTTTATTCGGTGTGTTGATTGTTAATTTCGCAAAAAAAAGTACATGTATGTACATATAACTAAAACGTAGTACAACAGTAAATTATTGTTCCGAATTAATATTTCATTTTGGGACATTTTCATTGTTGAATTTATTTATGTAAATATCTAAAACGTAATACATGTACAACAGTAAACTATGTATTGTTCCGAATTAGTATTTCATTTTTTTCTGTTTACTATTTTGGGATAAATTAAAGTTAGTTTTTTATTCTAGCACCAAAATGAAAATTTGCTATAAAAATTGGTAAATATAATTTTTAATAAGCACTTTTTACTCAACGTTAAGCTTAATGTTAAGAATTAATTTTAATATCGATATAAATTTATAGTCATAATAATAAATAACGATAACGATAACAAATTTAGTAAATTTCACTAATACGTACGTATCTGGATCACGAATTAAATCATCCTCGAGCGCCTCTGTAGAATTCATTCTTTTATTTCTATAATTAAAATGGTACCGCGATAGATTATATTGCAGAACGCCATTTTTAGTTGTAATACCGATACAATGAATTTATCCTCCCTATTTGGCGTTTTAATATAAACATTGACTAAAGAATCTTCTGCATACGTGTACAGTAATATTTCTTTTTGTTATAGTGTTAGCTTAAAGAAACTCTAATTTAGCCTTTGTTCACTATTATATGGGAAGATTCTATTTAATTCGTGACCCGCTGGGAACCAGTGAAAATTTGCTTTACATAGTATCGGTATATTCTATCTAAAGATTCCGGATGGTAAAGAAAATATAATAATTTGTCCTCAAATTAATACGTACATGTAGAACCATAAGCTGCCGTAAAAATATGCATCACTCCAAAAATAGTAAAAATAAATAAGCATATCTAAGATTTCTTTAACGTTAAATGGTGTTACATGTAATTTTAAATTGTGAAGAAACGAGCACCACCCGTTCCAAAAAGTGATGCTTATTCACGACAGTTTACGGTAAATTTTCACTGGATCATTAATTAAACTAACGCTAATCACGAGATTAATGAAAAATGCGACGAAAAAATCTCGAATTTGTTTTTACGGATGGTACTAAATTGTCATTATCGTTATCGATTCTTTCCCCCGAAAGTCTATTGCTGCAAATATTAACGTTAATGAAAGAAATCATTTATCATTATTTTTCAAATGTAGGAATATAAATATTGAGTTTATTTATTAACAACTAAAAAATTATAGTTTTCGATGCTATTTTTAATAAAACGAGACCAGAAAAAACTAAAGTTTTATTCAATAAATAAATATCTTAGTTTGCGGACTTTTTTAATAAGCCTACAGAGGAAAGCACTTTAGTCCGAAAGCTACAATATTCAATATCAAATACATAAAAGAAACAACCCCCACAAAATGAACCTCTTTGTTTCCATATTTTTGACATTGAAATGTAAAATCTAGTATCTTCTTAAAAAAATACCATTCAGTTGTTCCCGTTAGTTTTCTAAGCTTGGAACCGATTTTAAAGTTTGTTATTGCAAATCCATTAAGTAGTGTACACTGACATTGTATGCTTTTTTAACGTTCATATTAAACGATACAGCATATTTACAAGTCTCTGATGAGAACAAATTCCAAATATCCTTTTGCTGCCAAGATAAAAATAAAACACACGACTAATTAAATTCTAACTTTCTTAATAACTTTATATTTTATCATTCGACGAAAATTCGTCGTTTACGTTTAGGTCAGCATCTTTGGTGTATTCTATTTCTATATTAGTAAAGAACATTTATTTACGTCCAAAAATTTTCTTACCCCAGAGAATTAATTATAGAATTCCATTTTCCGACAGAGTCTCCATGTTTAAACAATGCCAAACTCGCTATCATTAGAAATAATAGAATATCGTGATGAATAAGGTATCGTGATAGATAATTTACCTTCTGCTTTTTCACCTTTGTAAGAACTTAATCTTACTTCAGCGTCCCCAAATATAAATTTTAGTTTATCGGAGGTGATAATTCAAGAGTCAAGTGTACAGTCCCCTTGTTTTACTACTAAATATAAAATTGAATATCGATTATCGATATATGTACGTAATACTTTTTATCTTTATCGTTATAATTTTGACTACGTAGTAATTTATTTTACTTGATAAGAAAAATCTAATTTGTATGCATTTGAGCAAAATTACCAATGAGTCCATAACGGAAGATGGACCAGAATTGATTGTGTACATGTATTCCGTTACATTGACAAATGAATAACCGAAAATGATAAATGTTACATATTATAATAAGACCTCTCCATCGGGGGACATAGAAAAAGTCAGACATAACGTGCATTAGAGAAAAATTTCATTTACAGAGTGTAAATACTTAAAGCTTCATATACATAGGACTAAATCTGAGCATGCGTATATGGAGGGTAAACACAGTGCGTGCATTTAGGGAAATTGCATTAGAGAGGTTTGACTGTATTTCGTTATATCAGTAATGTGAAAGTAACGTCCGATTTTTATAAAAATGAAACTTTTAGATATATATTCGATTTATTATTTCATTTCTGCTTTATATATATATATCTTTTTTACTATTAACTAATAAATACATTACCCACCCTTTATATGGCTTCAATATCACCTCAATTCCTTACGGCATCGAGCTCACAACCTTCCCCTAAAATAACACATTAAATTTTGACTACACTTTCTTCAGAGCAATCTTGAGCTTGTTCACAGTTTTTGAAAAGCTTTTACACTTTAGAATATTATTCTACGATGGGTTCTAGATGTTTCTATGAAGTCAGGTCTGGGAGAATACGCTAATCATAATAATTAATATTATTTTCTTGAACCTATTTGTGATCTTTTTAGAATTAGGGTTAGGGTTAAGCTGAACGCCATATTTCTCAAATTAATGAGCACAATATATTATGAAAAGGATGAAATTATCTCAAAGTATCTTCGGGTAAATGTTTACAAGAATTTTTTGTTGACAATATCACGAAATGGCTTAGGTTGTCTTTTTTTGGCTTCTTGTAAATATGTATTTTTTTCTTGCTTGTTAAGAGCTTGTGACCTTCCAGACCCTGGTAAATTTTCTTTTTTCCTACTTCTCTTGTATTCGGCAAGAGACTATTATCCCGTCATCGGGTAACGGCTCATTTTTCTTGCAATTTGCACGGCATACAAAACTCCAATAAAAATCACAATTTTACCCTCGTCAAAGTCGGTCAACTGGAGGCGGGTGTGTTATATTTACAGTCAACAAATTTCGCCAGTGTATGTTTATGTTGATGTTGCACATCCAAATCGGGCGTTACTTTCTGTGGCGACTGTACATGTAGTTCAGGAAGAAAAGATGATAAACAATCGATACCTGGCTAAAATTATTTTCGAATTTCTTTTTTCTTGTGTTATAACCTCTGAAAAATTGACTTATTTATTAGAAGTTGGCCACGTAATTTATATCACGTGAAGGCTCAATAACATCAAATTTTGCCACGTATGTATAACCACATGAATTTAGCTATTTTCTTTTTGTCTAATTCGTGTAATAGCCCAGTGATATTGGCTTATGTAAAAGATCATAATCGTCAAAAAGACATCAACTTCGAGTATTAATAAGAAATTATTTGATGCTATTATATTAAATTCTATTGGTCAAAAATATTATTCACGTGAAAAACAACAATTTGATCAGTCAGATCAAATATTATGTCTTAAGATCTGTGTTTTCAGAATTGATGGAAATTATATACCGATAACGATATAGCGGATATTTGATACGTATAACGGAGACCAATAAAACTCGACATAACGGATTGAGGTTCAGAACGGATTACAATATTTGAAAATAAAAAAGCAGGATTTAAAGGGTGTTCATTTTTATCTCGTCTAATGTAATTTGCTTCGAGTTGTGTAAATATTTGCATTTCAAAACAAATTCGTTCTTCAGTTCGTTCAGATTTATTTTTTTACATGATCTCATGCTTTATAAATTATTCAAACTCTCCTTTTGCAAGATATTCAACATTGGTAATCATTCAATTTATCTTAATGAAATCATTTTAAAAGTAAATTTAGACAGTCCTTACCAAGCAGAAAAAATTAAAATCTTGGATCAGCATCATCTTCACGGGCCATTTTGTAGAATTGTTTTATTAGATTGTCAATATCTTATTTCAATAGACATTCAGCTTCATAAATTCACTCGTGATTTAAAACATCCACGGCAGTGATTTTTTTGACAACGAGTGCATTTACTACAATCATGAGTATTGTGTTCTGATCATTCATCGCAAACATGAGCAAGATTCCATCTTTGAGTTCATTTTATAGAATGATTGAAATAGCGATAAAATGATGAGTTATACATGTATGTGTGGAAGTCGCTTGTTATTCATTTATACTGTAGATGTATTTGTAGCCCATAAAATGCATTATAGTGATTGGACTCACACTCGAATTGATTCGAGTCAAACTTGACTCGAGTCATAAATTTTCTGACTCGAGTCAGCGATATTTTGACTCGAATGATCACTCTGACTCGATTCAAGTTTGACTAGAGTTATACAGTGGCTCACACATGTAACAGAACATGAAAATTAATTTACTAGGATTTTTATTTCCATGACTATTAGTTCGAACAAAATAAAAAAGTGTTCATTTGAAACCTTGAAACCACTAATA